AGAGAAGGGCAGAATGTAGGAAAAATTATAATCGGACGTTGAGGGATTATGTGTTGCAAAATGTAATTGAGATAAATTCAGCTATTCGACAACCTATAGTTGAACCAAACAATTTTGAGATCAAGTCGGCTGCGATTGAAATGATCCAGACTTTAGTTCAAATTTGTGGATTACCCAATGAAGATCCTAATGCTCACATCTCTAGTTTTTTTAGATTTGTGGCACATTCAAAATATAATGGAGCCAAAGATAATGAAATTAGACTAAGGTTATTTTCCTTCTTTGTCAAGGATTGAGATAAACAATGGTTGAAGTCCTTGCAAAGTTCTTTTAACTTGATAGCTCTACTAAGATTTGAGTTGAGATTAACAACTTTACTCATTTTGAGGGAGAGACATTTTCTGAAGCATGGGAAAGATACCAGGAGCTTACGATCAAGTGCTCCCACCATGGGTTACCTAAATGGATGTCAGTGCATAATTTTTATTATGGGTTGGATGATGGAACAAGAACTACGATTGATGAAACACGAGGAGGGCTTTCATGGGTATAATTTAAATTGAAGCATGGAAGAAATGACATTGAATAATTATTAGTGGCGTGAGAGGTTAGCTTAGAAAAGATTGGAGTAAATGTGGTGGATGATATCATTGCATTAACCGTGCAGTTGCTTCACTTACCAAGCAACTTCAACCAAACTAGCTTGCGATAAATGCTATTCAAGCACCACCTATCTTTTGTCAATACTGTCATGGTGACCATCAGAGCTAAGATTGTCAAGTGGGGAACCGATTTATGCAAGGCCAACATGAGCAAGTTCATTGTGTTGAGAATTTTAGTCGCCAGCCAAATCACCCCTATTATAACACTTATAATGACAGTTGGCGCAATCATCCGAACTTCTAATAGAGGCAAAATAAGAGTCAGAACCCTCCCTCATCACTCAGATTTCAACAACCATAGAAGAACTATAGCCTTGAATAGACAATCTTACAGCTGGAAAACACTATAACTCAGTACATGGTAGAAACAAAAACCAGCGTCCAAAATCAAGCAGTTTCTACTCGTAACTTAAAGGTACATTGGTCAGCGTGCCAATATGATGGTGGATAGGTTTCCAGATAATTTACCGAGCACAACATAGGTCAATCTAGTGGAGCACTATAAGGCTATTACCTTGAGGAGTGGAAAAAAGGTGGTTGAATTAGAGTAAAATAAGAAGCCTACAAAAAAAGTTCCAACAAACATAGATTACACCATAAAAATTCACTAAGCTATATGAGAACATGATGACACCACAGTTAGCCATTTCATCAGCCATTCCATCTCATCAACACTTCTACAAAAACAAAAAGGATATGCAATTCAGTAAGTTTATTGATATTTTTAAGAAACTGCATATTAATATTTAGTTTGTAGATGTCTTTGCACGTATGTCATAGCATATGAAATTCATGAAGGACATCTTGTAGAATAAAGCAAAGTTGGAGGACTATGAAATGATCCCACTCGCATAGGAGTGCAGTGTCATACTACAAAGAAAACTCCAGCCCAAACTGAAAGATCTAGGGAGATTTTCTATTCCTTGATTAGTTGGTGATGTTGTCTTTGCAGATGCTTCATGTGACTTAATAGTCTGTATTAACTTAATATCGTTATCTATTTTCAGAAAAATGGGACTTGGAGACGCAAGGCCGACCACAATTTCATTGTAGCTTGCCGATAGATCAATAAAACGCCCAAGGGGAATCATCGAGGACGTTTTGTTCAAAGTAGGAAAATTCATCTTTTCTATTGACTTTCTAGCGTTGGATATAAAGAAAATGAGAACAATATGTCCATTATCTTGGGAAGACCATTTTTTACGACGGGGAGAGCGAAGATTGATGCAGAGTTAGGCGAGTTAAAGCTGCGAGTTCAAGATGAGTCAGTCATTTTCAAAGTCTTCAAAGATCCCAATCCTTATTATAACCCCACGAATTGCTCTTGCATCTTATGGGCGAGATCACCAACATCCATATCTTCTTCGGAGTGATATGTATCACACTACTACTTTAAATCACCTGGAAGATGAGAAGAAAAGCCAAGCTAAAGACTATCATTCAAGTGATATTGGGAGGCCACCCAAAGGTTTCTTTTGCAACTTTTATTTATTTGTTTGTTTTAGTTTTATTTCTCCATTAATTTACTTTTTAAATGTAGGAAAAAGAGCAAAACTGTAACGCCCCGAGTCCCTCGGGTTAGTTAGTCTCGAATAAGGAGATTTTCATTTAATTTTAAATTAAACTTTCATTAAATTTATATATATCGGGCTCCGTGTGGTTGGTTTTATCTTAAGTTGGGATGGGTTTCTTTTCTCTTGTGCTTGGCTATGTTGGGCTTTTTGGGTTGGTTTGGTTTTAAAACAAAGGAAAAGAAAATTAATAAAGAGAA